GGTGGGGTGAGGCGGGGTGGGCCCGGGGGCGGCGAGGCTCAAAGAGTCGTGGCCGGCCCCTTGTTCGCCGCTGATTTGCGTGGGCGTGGCGGCGCGTGGCGCTGGAGTGCGAGGACCCTGATCAGTCGGAGCCCCGCGCCTCACCCCAGGCATTGTCCTGTATAAACTGCCCGGGCGCACTTGGGCCACCCCATCAGCCAGGGGTCGTAAGTCGTACAGAAACTATAATAGGCACATTCCGCAGGACACCAAAAGGTTTCCCTACGCGATGACCTCCTCCCATAAATTGATTTTTCCCAGTACAGGTACGTCCATTTATAACTTCAAAGGATGAGCCGTGATAGAGCCCCAAGCCCCCAGAGACTGGCGTTTATTTGTGGCATATACTCATGACCTGATCCTTAAATGCGGCCGCCATTTGAATATGGATGCCTGCCATATCCGGTCGGCAGCAGCGCGGTAGCACCGCGGCGGCCTCGCACGGGTTGCGGAATGTTTTTCATTCCCAGCCGCGCGTCTTTCTCATTTTTTCATTATTTTCATATCTTTTAGCGACCTCCACGCCGCCCCGGCTCGCGGCCGTGCACCCCCCTCCCCCCCTCTCCCCTCGGCCGACCGGCCCCTCAATAGCAAAGGCCGACGCTCATTGCCATAATTCTACAAAGGCTTCAAACATTCACGGAAAATGAAAGGAAGAACACGCACACGTACAAGCACACGCACACACAACTGTCCGCATTGATTAGCCAATCCACGGCCGGAAGGAACTGTGGAATTCGTGTTGTACATTTCGGGGCGGCGGGGATGGGGGACCGCCCGCCCTGGACCACCGGGGGCTCGGTTAGGAGGGACACGGGAGTTCGGATTTTGCCTTTTGTATTCCGCCCTTGCTCTCTCTCTCTCTTTTTGTAAAAAAAAAGAAAAAGAAAACAAAACGAAAATTTCGGGTTTCTGCGGGGGCTGTGTGGTGGGTCTCGATCCGGAGCAAAGATATTCAGCGGGGTGGGCCAAACAGCGGGGACAAACACGTGAACCCGCCACTACTACGCCGCCCATAGATAAAGCAAAAATGTAATAAAATTAATTTAAAAAAACAAAACAAAGCAATACACACACGCAGCTTTATTCTTTTCATTCACGGAATGTGTGTCAGGCGGGCGCGCCCGGGCGGGCCGCCACACCTGATCACGCCCGAGGCCGGCGGGATTGATCAGCACAAAGAGTCCGACCCACAAACCGCCCGCGGCGCCGACACGAGCATCGATATGCCAACAGCAGGAAGGGGAGTCCCGCGCGGCGGCCGGCCCGGCCTAGCCCGCCCCCGCACTGGGTCAGCGCGGCCCTTTGAAGTAGTCTCTTACCCCGCACAGACTACCGGGCGCGCGGAGGGAGGCTCCCCCACCAACCCACCTCCTGTCGGCCTATGGGCCAGAAGTAGTATTAGTAGTAGATGATGCAAAAAAACAACAGACAAAAAAACAAAAAAACTCGCAGAGCTGGCCACAAATGCAGTTCAGCTTTAGGAGGTGTCCACTCTGAACAGGCGAAAAGGGTATCCTGGAGTGATTGGGATACACGGAGAACGAGCAAGACAGAGAAAGGAAGAGAGAGAAAGCGAGAGAAAGCGAACGAGTTAAGATCCCCTCTTCCCGTTTCGTGCTCTCCTCTTCATATCCTCTTCGCGCGGCGCTCAGCAGGACAAAACACATTTGCACACTAATGCGAATAGTTAGCATGCAGCGAACGAGCATACCTCTTATCGCCGTTATCACTACTATACCACTTCGAACGCATCCCCCCTTAGCGCACACACACACACACACACACACAGAGCACTCTGGCACTCAAACAAATCGAGAACAAGTCCGCTGCAGTCCCTGGCCGCCCCCCGGCCGCGCTATGCCGCACGACGCCGCGCCGCCGCCGCCCCCTGACTGAAGGCCTCTCGTAGAGTTTAACGGCGCGCTCTCCCGGCCGCTCCGTCGGCTTGAGTGAAATGATAATTTGAGCGGCGTGGACCGTCCCAATGAGAGCGCAACACGGCCGGCCGCCTAACTGCACAGCCCTTATCTAATTTTATGATTATTTGCAGTTCTCGAAGAGAAGCGGCGCGCTACCGTCGTGCCGTCGCGGGTCTGCTCCCGGCACAACAAGCAGTACGAGGAGTAGTACGACGAGGAGCGCAGCGGAGCAGCGGGAGGGGGG